TTCTAAACATTATCTACGCAGTCTCTACTTGTACATTCAAACAAACAGTAACAAAATACAATTTAAGCTTCAAGTATAATAAAAAAATATTAAAACTATCAAAATACAACAAAATTACCCTTTTTTAACACTAAATAATACAATAAATGATAACAAAAAAAAACTTCAACATTTAAAGAGTTAAAATCTAACCATATTCGCCGGATTGTTGACATAATCCTCCATTTTCTTCAAAAAGTAGCCAAAATCGCGAAAATACTCCAAAGATAGAGACAGTTAGAGAGAGTTTTTGTGTAGAGAAGGGAGAAAATGGAGAAAAAAAACGCTTATATATCGAAACAAAGAGCATTTCGCAGATGGCTTCTCAATTTCGCAGATGGCAAGGTGATTTCGCAGATGGGGCATTTCCATCTGCGAAATCGTTGGCTATTTTTGTAATTTGGATTTTTTTGGCTATTTTTATAATGTCATTAGTGTAAATGGCTATTTTTGTCATTTTCTCTACATTTTATTATTTTAAAATTGTATCTTCGCATGCAATTCGCATTCTTTTATTTTTTTTCATATCCATCTTAATCTTCTTACTCATTAGATCAAGACAAGTGTCAAAATCAAACAAGGCAAAATTAAAAAAAAAATTAAAAGATTATACATTTCATTATTTTATATTAATATGAAGATTGATAAGAACAAAGGGTAGGCGAATATATAATTTCTCACAAAAGTTATATAAATATGACATATTTAGTCCATAATATTGTTTAGGTTCTAGTTAGCTTAGCTATAACTATTTTCATTAATTCTTTCCCACGCTAGGTAAAAGTCATATTTTCACGAATGCATTCAACAACTACAATGAAGCCTTACTTGAACTTTTGTACATACTATTGTAACTTTACTAGATTTCTATTAAGGTTAATGTCACAAAAACCCTCAAGTTTGCAGTAAATTATCATTTTTACCTAAAGTTGATTTTTATGTTCATTTGTGTCTTACATTTGTATACTTTTGTTCATATTTGTTGTATACCTGGTTTCCAGGTGATTTTGGTGCTTACCTGTCGGTGAGATCGCTGATATGGAGCTTATGTGGCTGCCATGTCAGCCAATATATATATATATATATATATATATATATATATATATATATATATATATATATATATATATATATTGCAAAGTAAAAGTATAAGGCGTGCATATAAAAAACGTCCAAATCTGACTTCGTATGGAGAATTTATGGTTTTTTGAAATTTCAGCGCAACATTATACGATACGGAAACCGAAATTTAGATTGGTCGATTGTTTTGAAAAACAATCTAAACATGAGTTTAAGATCCCGTCGATATGATTATGTCGATATAAAGACAGTCGAGAATGGAGTCTTTATGAAAGAGTTATGAATTTTACACGGTCGTTAACAATATAATCTATTAGATTAGGTGTCTAAGACAATAACTAAATTGATATATACTTGAATTAAATACAAAGTCATTTTAAGTTACTGAAAACTAGTAATTAACTAAAGTTACTTTTGGAGAGAGAGATGATTTATTTAATTATTATATGATTAATAAATAACAATGAATAATTTGTTAATATATTATGATATTCATATATTATATAGAAATGGTATTATTTAATAATTAATTAATCATAAATTAATTGAAATTAATTTTGAGATTAATTGTATTAATTAAAAGTGCAGAGACTTTAGTTATAATAGTTCAATAGTTGAACAAGAGAGGTTTCAGAACTTTCCATGGGTTATGGACGGTTATTAGGAGTTTTTGTAAGGATTTTAGATTAATCCTAAAAGATAATTAAGGAGTTGGATAATTACCAAATTTGAAATAATAGTATTATATTCAAATTAAGGGTTGTGGTTAAAGGTCAACGTACAGGCCCTTAAGCGTGCCCGGGCGAGAGCAATCTAGGGATGTGTGACCTCTGCGGGACGTTTTCGTGCCGGGAACCCAAAACAGACAATATTGTGATATGTGCTAGAGGGGAATATTACAAATGGTATCGGAGCTAGAGCACGGATCGATGTGCTCAACGGGGATGTCAAAACATATAGTAAGGGGTGAAGGTGGGCAGGTTAGCTGAACCTGATCTCACATCGGCTGGGAAGGAGAACGAAACATTTCCTTTATCACAACGCGTTTTAAAGCCGTGAGGGAAACATATCCAATAAGAACTTTGAAGTTAAGCATGCCCGGGAGAGAGTAATTCAGGGATGGGTGGCCCCCTTGGAAGTTTTTGTGTCGGGAGCCCAAATCGGACAATATTATGATACGTGCCAAAGGGGGATGTTAAACAATTAGTTGTCTTATATAATCATAATTATTAATTAATTATTTTATATGTTAATTACTTTAATACCCCTACAATACTTGTTGTTTACATATGATCCTAGCTCACAAGAGGGTTAGGAGGTTTGGAAAAGGTCCAATCCTCCCACTTAATTAGTTGATAACAACAACTATGTTTATAAATAAGGTAATTAAGTAATCTAACTACATTTGTATAGATTTTTTAAATAACCAGTTATTATTATTATTATTATTATTTTGAAAGATAGTTATCATGTCCAAATAGGCCATTCTAGAACCCATTTCGGACTCTGGCGATCCAGCTCAGACTAACAACGATTTACAAAATGATATTTCAGAATGTATACCAGAATATCTACATATTTCAGACTAAAAGGCAAATAAGATATGTCATTTGATTCTGATGAGTTTGATCGCTTTTACGGGTGAGATCTTGACTCCTCTTTTATTTACTTAATTTTATGATTATTTCTGTAAATTAGTAGGTCCCGAACACGAAAATCATGTTCGGAACATGAAGATCATGTTTGGAATGTTAGGTTAATCTCTTGTTTAGTGTTAAGACCAATCCAAAAATAGTTTATTTAGTGTCACATGTTATTGTACATGTCCGGAATGTTATTATACATCGAATTTTGGTATTCCAGCACACACATACGCATTTGGGAACATGTCCGGAATCCAAAGAACTTGTCTGGAATACATAGAACATTTTGGAATTCTCATTGCAGATTGTTCTGGAGCCCATTTACAGTTTGTAATTATCTTAATAGTTTTTTTTGGGTAGCGTGACAACATATTTGGTGGTTTTGTTACACTATCACCGTTGCACAATTGTATAATCCCTAACATTCATACTATATATGAACAATGTGATGTTTCACTATTGTTTTTCCATCGATTTCTCACGTATATACCAACAATGGAGTTTTGGATGCACTTATATAGGGACTTTGACTCAGGCCGGTTGGAATGTGATGTAAGTTATATACATATGTGATCATTACGTAATATGCATTTAGTAAGGTTACTAGCTTTTATGTATAATTGGTAGCATATCATGATTTGGATTTCCATATTGATAGAGGGTAGTCGGATGATGCTCAATGGACATTTATGCCGACAGCTTTCGGCACAGATGCATATGACGGGAGTAACATGGTTAATGGATCTATTTACCCAACTTTGTTTAAGTGTGATACAATATACTTGTGTTTCAATTACATTATCTAAGTAATGAACACTTAAAAGAACATGTTATCTAATGATTACTTAATTCTTACCGTTTCTACAATTATACATCCATATCAATATATCGAACTCGCACCGGTTGTTAGGAGTTACGGATTTTCGGACATTCACAATGATAATATATGTCAGTTACCGACTGAAAACCATATTTCAAACTCTTTTTTGGTTTAAATTTATGCGAGCCCGTATCCATAAACCACTAGTGGGTATTTACTATTGAGGTAAAAAATCCACTAATGTAATCTCACTTAAAAGTTTCAAAATCACCCTTGTGTAGGGCACAGACGCACCACAATAGTCTACCGGTAAAGGGGATTATGGAGCGTTCGTATTTTGATTCTTATAAAGGTTGAGAGGGGGCAATTTCGTCACCATGGAGGGTTGCACCAAGATCTTGGCCTAGTCATATCGATGACAATTTGAGGAAATTGTATGGGTTACAAATAAAAAGTAGTGGTGGATTTGGACATTATATTATTAATTAGACATATTTAACTTTATGTAATTATTATTTTCATATAATTACATTTTAAGGTATATATATATATATATATATATATATATATATATATATATATATATATATATATATATATATATATATATATATATATATTAATTAACCATAATTAAAAAAAATAGTAAAAAAATCAATTAATCTTCGGAATGTTATTCCAGAAACAACCTTGACCTAAATTAAACAAAAAGAAACTATGTAATGGGGTCTTGGAATTTCGGATTAAGCTCTAGAATGTTTTATTTGAGACAAAATGGTCAATTTACAAAAAAAAAAATAATAAAAAAATAATAATAATAATAATAATAATAATAATAATAATAATAATAATAATAAATAAATAAATAAATGATTATTTTTTTTATCAAGCAACCACATTTATATAAGTTAGATTTACTTAATTTGCCTATAAATAAATATTAATGTGTACGTATGTAGCGCTTCAACTTATAAATTGAGAACAAAACACACATACACACACATGCTTGAAGCTTTTCTCTCTCTTACACTCCCTCCAATTGTTAGGTGTCCTCTAAAATATTACCATAGTGATACAGATCATTGTCTCCTACAATCTCCACTTCTTAATTTATCAGAGGTTTTTTGCAGTTGACTTCCAAGATCAGAGGTACGTTCAACAGCAAATTCCCTTTAAACAAACTCTGTGTTTATGCAACCATTTTACGTTGATTCTTTCTTCTTCTTGGAATCTAGCTATTCAATACATGTTATGGATCTGTTTATTTAGGGGTTAATGATGACTAAGTTCATATCGCATCATCCATGAAAAATCAATTTAAGAACATATGAGAAGGAGATGATCAATTGATTACTTGTGACTGGAAGTAGCTCGAGATTACTGTTTTTAGTCTTCCATTTGTTTTTAAATTCATCATTAAATTTCTACATCTTCATTAATAATATAATTTTCTGAAATTAAGTCAAGTCCGATGGCTTGACACTTTTGTTTTATTGATTTTCGTTGTCACAACAATTTTTCTCACAACTACGCTATAATATAACAACTTATCTTTTATTTTTGACTTTACACGAATAATGTAATTAATTTAATCGTTGGAATCATTGTAAAACGGCCATTTTATCATATTGAAAAATTTCTATCTACAAAATTTTTCAACATTATTGATTTGGTCAATGGTCATGGTCAACTTCGGTTTTTATTCAACTTTCCTACCACCTTCTTTACCACATCACATGTCCACACATGGATGATGGACTTGTTTGTTATGTTAAATAAACTAATTCATTATGTCTCATTGCATTTTTCTCTACCAAATATAGTCTAACATCTTGGATATTTGTTAGGTATATACCCTTTTTTCCTTTATCACACTAATGAGTAGTTCTCTTATGAAACCATGACTAAAATGTATCATTTTTTGTAGTCAATTTGTCTTCTTATTTTATTGATTTTCGAAAGATCTGATCTTGATTATTGTTCTTTGCAGGTAATTCAGTTGTCTATCTTTATCATCACTATTCATCACCATGGCCATGTTTAGGCGTCGTGGGTCACAACGACAACAACAAGAACAAGAACATCATGAGCTTCATCCTGAGTCTAAGGTAACATATTAACTAATTTGATAATTTCAATCTCAAATAGAACCAATTTATTAAACAAATACTAGCATATTTACACACCATAGTTTCTTCAAAATTGTTTCATACATTAATGAATCGGGTGTCTTACAATCCTAACTCTTATCTGCTTTGGCCTTATCATTTTATGACTTGTAGATCAATGAGCTTAAAGCAGCAATTGGTCCTCTTTCTGGGTGTAGTTTATTATATTGTACTGATGCATGCTTGAAAAGATATCTTGAAGCACGAAATTGGAATGTAGAGAAAGCAAAAAAGATGTTGGAAGAGACCCTTGCGTGGAGATCTACCTATAAGCCTGAAGAAATCCGTTGGGTTAGTGCTCGTTGCTCCATTCATCTTTTAATTTTGATTCGAATCAATTTTTGCAAAAGGGTAAATTCTTCTGGTAATCTTAGTTGACTCACACTACCCAAAGCGTCATGTGAGATATAAATAAGATCCAAGTAAAGAGGAGTCTGCTAGGTGGCAAACATAATAGTCTGTCTGGTGTCACGAAGAGCCCAGTCCACATTGGAATTAAAACTCTCACCGTCATATTCTTGATCTTTATTGTGTTTGACATGCATTTGACTGTGATTAGAACAAATGTCAATAGGAGAAAAGAAAATGCAATTTCTTGTCCAACCTAGAGAGGTAGGACCAAAACTCGCTTTCGATATCTTGTCGGCGTAAAAAGACGTTACCTCTCATAAAAAATAGTCTCAGAAAGCATGTCTAATAGAGTATAACAAACAAAACATTATCGAACTTATTTTTTACATATATTTTTTTTTTCATTTTTTAGAATGAGATCGCTAAAGAGGGCGAAACCGGGAAAGTATTCAAAGCAAATTTCCATGACCGTTTTGGAAGAACCGTTCTCATAATGAGACCAGGACGACAGGTGATTTTATAAAGTTGAAAATGAAAGAAATAACAGCATATTTTCGTTATCCTTTATATAGTATAAAGATCTAACATAATAATCTAAATCATTATAGAACACAACATCAATGGACAACCAAATCAAACATCTAGTGTACTTGATAGAAAACGCAATCCTTTATCTTCCAGAAGGCCAAGAAGAAATGGTATGGCTCATAGATTTCACCGGATGGTCTCTTAGGACCAATGTCTCAATTAAAACCGCACGCGAAACCATCAACATTTTACAAAATCATTACCCTCAAAGGCTAGCCGTTGCCTTTCTCTATAGCCCACCACGCCTTTTTGAAGCATTTTGGAAGGTTCGTATCGTGTCAAGAAATAGCTAACCTATTTTTATTTCTTTATCTTACAATATTGTACTTTCGAAATTTGTTTCTATTAAAAGTTAAAACATACATTGTACTTTTTAATATGTAGGTTGTTAAGTACTTCTTGGATCCGAAAACATTCCACAAGGTGAAATTTGTGTACTTGAAGAATAAAGAGAGTGTGGCGCTAATGGAATCTTGTTTTGATGTGGATAATCTTCCAACTGAATTTGGTGGAAAGGCGACTATGAAGTATGATCATGAAGAATTCTCGAGATTGATGATCCAAGATGACGTTAAAACCGCTAAATTTTGGGGTTTGGACAAAAATACCCTTGTGGAAACTAACGGGCATGCTACTCCAGCATTGGTTGCATAAGAGTTGAGTCACTTGAATGGTTACAATTGTTGTATAAAGTTTATATAGACAGGATCAATTTGTGATGTTTTTCCTGAATTTTGTTGAGGAACTTTGAATTCTCTATCTATTGGTGAAGTTTGATGCTTCTATTATTCCTAATGGAACTTTGTACTCCGTTTTATATATGTTTTTTCAAAAGTGATTATTGTGTTTTTGGGGTTTATAAATATCAAATCATAATCAAAACAACAAAAACAAAAACTACATTCATATATGATTTGTTTTTATCCTGATTATATAACGGGGCCCATGACATAACATAATAATAGCGACTAATCAAATAACGAGATGATTATCAATTGCTTCAGAGTAGTGAGATTATTGAACATTGATCTCGATAATCTGTTTTTCATATACTACCTTAATATATGATTCATTTGTTTGTTTTTATCCTGATTATACAAATTTTATTTTTAGTTCAAATATAAATTAAGCTCTTGAGGGCATTAGGCTCTTATGTAAGACATATAGCAGATCAGATCACTATGTACCTGATTTACAGCACAAACTGATGCTCCACATTTGTTGGAAGAATAACTTTTTTTTAACAGAAAAATACACATTTATTGTTACAAACTTTTGAGAAAAGACCTTACTAATAACAAATGAAATGAAAAGATGCTTAAATTTAATTCTATTATCTTCATCAAACCAACCAAGCATATAGACTTCATATTACCTAACTTTTTGCAAATCCGTATATTCATAGAGTTCCATAATTATGAAAAATACTAAAACTTAATATAGACAATACATAAACCCTAAACCCTTATGCCAAACACTTGGGTCAACATCACATCACATCGATTTGGTGATAAAACTTATGCCAAAAATAAGTTGTTTTCCACACCCTTTATAGAATATAACCAAAATTTGAAAACAAATAATAAAAACACAAGAAGGAATAAGAGGAATTACTATAGCCGCCTTCTAAAGTTTCGAGTGGTAGATTGATACGTTCGAACAAGAAGACCAACTCCAATTCCAACCCCGAGACAAACACCAAGCCCAATTCCGACTCCGACCCTCACTCCGGCATTGAACCACGAGAGTGCTCCATCTTCTCCTTCCAGATACTCCATTTGATTCCAATACGGGCTCATGTCATAATTCTCATGATTCTCAATTCCACCCTTGTAATTCCCATATCCACCTACCTGTATAGCAATGAGAGGTAGCATATAAGGACTAGGATCAAGACAAATGTCAATGAAAAAAACCAACTTTTTGTCCCACGATTCTATGTACACCACCATTTTAATTATTGACAAAATTACATGAAAGGTCCCTGTGGTTTACCACTGGTCACAAATTCAGTCTTTGCTAATTTTATGACGAACATAGTCACTATGGTTTCCAAAACTAAATGGTCCTTTTTGCTAACACCGTTAGTGTGAGGGTAATTTGGTCTTTTTAGCTAGTTTGTGACCATGGGTAAACCATAGAGATCATTCACACACGTTTTGGAAACCATAGAGACCTGTTTGTCAAAAACAATTAGCAAGGACTGAATTTGTGACCTTTGGTAAACCACAGGGACCATTTATGTAATTTCGTCTTAATTTTTTAATATTTATTTTACTAACAAGACACCCCTAATTACTTATTGTACCCCTGATTTAACATTTTTTTGTCAAATCAAAAGGGTGTTGTTCATATTGTTGCATAAACTGTTTTCACAGTTAAAATAATGCAAAAATTAACTTTAATATATTTTAAATAATGTTATTGAAATGTACTATGATGACTTTAAGCTCCAAAACAACTGTATAGAATGAGTACCTGAAGATCAAGTCCAGGTACAACGTCTTTACGAGATTCCGATTCCGCACTCTCATACTCTGGAATGGAATCCAACATTCCTTTCCGATTTTGCTTCTTCTTGAGACTAATCTGTAAAGTTTTTGTCAAAATAATCGGTGTCCCGGAAAACGATCCCGCAACATAAACTTCAATCATAGGTGGCAATGAATACGAATCACCACCTTTCAAAAACCCATTTCCACCACAAATCATTGATTCACAATTCATACTCCACTTCCCATTATCATTATCTTTTGATTCATTTGACATTTCCAAAGTCCCAAAAAGAATCAGAGCTTCATCATCAAAGACCTCAAACTTAACACCACCTGATAATCTTATACTGTCTGTACTTACAAAAGTGGCTTCTTCGAATTTCTTGTCTACTCTGTTCTTTTTTAGGCGACAAGAACTACCCTCTGATTGGAGGCTGCATCTTTTACCATTTACTTCAAGGACAGTATCAGGGTTTAATGGTATATGGTTGAGGGTGAGATAATGAGGGGTATATCCGTCAATCATGAAATTGCTTATTCTAACGTAGAATACACGGATATCAAACCAAGATATTAATCGTTTACTATAAGATGGGTAAGAGGGGTGCTTTATAATCTGAAGACCATGATTGGGATGATTGGTTTTTTCGTATGAATCTTTCTCCATGTTTACAAGAGCTCTTAAACATCAAGCATAATTTGCAGAGGAACCCTAGAAAAAAGTATGAAAAACCCAACTTTGGATTAGTATATTGAGTTTGTAAGTTGCTAAGTTATAAAGAAGTTTTGGGTTAAGAGGCATTTATACAAGCAGGTGGCGTGCGACATAGTGACACACACATTTGAGGATTTCTAATTTTCTTTGCAGGGCTTGAGTTATTATTTTGTAATCGAATCACATAGAATTGAAACAAGAAACAGAGATGAAAGAAGATAGAAAAATCTGAATTATCGAGAAAGAATTGGGGTGGAAAGAGAAGATACGCACCTGAAACAAAGGATTCAAAGTCCAGACGAGAAATCCTGGTCTCTGTTCAATTTCCTAGGTTAAGATTATGATCAAATTTTACTAATTTAAAATCTTTTAGCTGTAATTGTGTGTGGTGTGTGAGAGAGAAAGAGATAGATATAAAAAAGAGAGTCAAGGGCTGACGAAGATAAATGTAAACAGCAGGTAGCCACTAGTATTGAATAAATCGCAAATGGTATGAAAATCTTGAATAGTTTATCAATGTTTACAGTCCACAAATGCAAACAAGTCACTCTCACTAACGCCCACTGAACTTAAGAAGATTAAATTAAATCTCAGAGTGATTCCTCAAATTCCTTTCAGATACCCCACCAAATAGGTTTAATTCTCTTCAAAACCACAAGTTTCAAAGTTTCTCTTAGTATCAACAGAAACAAAAAACAGCCACACAAAAGCTAATCGACATCTTGAACACCTAGAATCCAATGTTCTCGAATTCCCCTTTGTTCTTCTACGCATACATAGATGATACATATGCATATGTATAAAGATGAAATCGACAGCGATAGGTAGGAAAGCTGGGATTTTGTTACCTTATCCAGATAGATACACGGGGAGGAGGGATGTGCAATCACATTCACGACGACGGAGGCACGATAATCGTTTTGTTGGATCGGATGAGATGAGAGTGATATATGTCAACTGAGCAAAGATTGGGAATAATGAAGAAAGTATGTCTTGCTATGAATCATGTATTTCGCATTCCCCTTAGTTTAAGGTTAACTTGTTTCCTAGAGATGCAAAGTTTTGGAACCATCACGCATATTGTAAGAGTTTTGGTTATGAAATTTTATGCATAAAAACCATTTATAACGTCAAAAACATTAGTTATTCATATATCACTATTGTAATAAAAGAATAGTTTTAATATTCTTTTGACATATATCATACCTCCTAATTAATACACATTTTTTTTTTTTTTACCATGTGTCACCCTATTAAACCTATTAATTAATGTATGTCACTTGTCAACCTATTAATTCTATATTTCAAATTTTAAATTTTTAATTTTAATTACAATAAATTAATAACAATGGAATAAAAATTAAAATAAAATTAATACAAATTATAAGGTGATATAATTCCATATATTTATTTAAATTAACGATTATAATTGATTAATAATTTTGTGTTCTAATTATTAAAATTTAATTAATTTTATAGCCGTGGTTTCACGGGTTATAAACTAGTATCAAAATAAAGAAACACTGTATGTGCAACTCTAACGCTATGGGTCAGCATTATGTCTCTTTCATATTACATTAATTATTGATGGTATTGACTAGTGAACAAGAGAGAGAAACGAGAAAACGAAGAGAGTGAGAGAAGAAGCCGATGAGTGTTTTGGAAGAAATGGTTTTGGTTGGTTGTGAGAATCCATGACCGCCTTCAATTATCACCACATTTACATCTATTGGAACCCTGTTAAGGCATGAACATCCCCTCCACATAGAAATACTCCCATACTCCATGACCTAAGTGCATAAAAAATGAAAATATATGTATGGCACATAGGAGTGCACGACTATAAAGTATAAAAAAATGAGAATATATTGTTGGAAAAATAATTGTTGAATTGAAACTAATCATCAAAGTTGAGGGATTGAGTGGTGTATCTTCAATTTTCGATTACATCTTCAATTTTCGATTACAACTTGTAATTACGAATGATATTAAATATAATGTTGGTTACGAATTATGTTTTAATGACAATTTAATTGTTTGTTGGTTATGGTTTTTAGTATAAATACAATCATTCCTCAACCATTTGAGAAACACCAATAATACAACCAAAATCTCTTCTACTCCATTCGTCTTCTTCATTTTCTTGTTACATCGAAGGTATAATCTAGGTCTACTGAGAGTTCAGGTGGTCTTTAATAGCCTTTTCAGACTGTTGTATCCTGAAAAGCAAACACCCGGTAGCGGGCGAATTTGTTTTAAGGACAATATGTTAAACACATGCATCAGTTTGTCTATTTTCTTGTTTATTTTCGTACATTATTGTAATATTATTCCTACAATCTTAAAACAAAATTTGTTTGTACAACTCGAACTAGAAATCAGAAACAATTTTATTTGCATTATTTTGATATTGTACAATTTTCATAATAAACATTAGGGATGAGCAAAATGACCGAACCAGCCCAAACCGGATCGGAACCGGGAAACCGGCTTCGACCAAAATCAAGAACCGAACCGACCCGGCAGTTCTACCGGTTCTGGTTCTACCGATTCCCGGTTCCTACCGGTTCTTGTCGTGTCTTCAAATGTTGGAACCGATCTTCGAAAAATAGCATCATACGGTTCTGGTTTTTGCCGGTTCTACCGGTTCCGGCCCGACCGGTTCCATCGGGTTCCGGTTCCGGTGCCGGTTCCAGTTCCGGCCAGTTCCCCGGTCCATATGCTCATCCCTAATAAACATAGATTGTTTTGTGATTTTGAAACACCTTTGGTCATTAAGTCATTAAGACGTGTTTTCTTTATTAAGTATCGAATTTTTCAGCTTCGGTACTGATTCCATTAAGTACCTAATGAGTTAAGAAGCCAGCTTAACTCAAAAACACAATTTACGTGTTGCTGTGAAATGCTCTAATCTATCACAATCTTTGAAAAATCATAACTTTGTCATGGATGCTCAATTTTGTTGAAACCAATTATCAAAGTTTGGTATACGAGTATACTACATTTCATTAATTTTGGCCGAAAGTTGGAAACAATGCTAACTAGGGTGAGAAATACGATTTTCACTGACTGATTAGGTTTTTAACAACTATGATACACAATTTTGTAAATTTCATAATAAATTGTAGAAAAATCGTATGAACTTGTGAAATTAGTCCCTGGAAAGCTGAGAGAGAGAGCTACTAGATTATGATCTTAGATCGCAATTTTCATAGGTTTTAATGGGGCTAAAGTAGTCTTGAACTAACTGCATTGTTTTGTGAAAAACAAAAAGGATTTGTTTAGTAAAAAACAACTTCAATTTTATGTAAAACAGCTTTGGAAATCAGAAAACGACTTGGTATTTCTGAAAAACAGCCTGGAAAACTGAAAAGATAGATTGGTTTTACTGAAAAACATCACATTTTAAATAGTTTTTTTTTGAAAAAAAAAATCAGATTTTCTGATATCATAATTTATGCATCAGTTTTCTACATGAGAAATCAAGTTTCAGAATTTCTATATCATAATTTATGCATCAATTTTCTGTATCAAAAATCAAGCTTTAGATTTTCTATATCAAAAGGTTTTCATCAGTTTTCTACATGAGAAATCAAGTTTTATAATTTCTGCATCAGAAATCAAGTTTCATAATTGTTTAAATATAGATTTTTAATTATGATGAGTTTTGTCCAAGCAAGAGGCAAGCATATTTTCTGGAAATTGGAATTCTAAACATTTATATTTAGTGTATAAATGATTTCAGAAATGTCAAAATCCAGAGTGCAATGATTTCTGAAGTAAACTCTATAGATGCTAACTCCATTGAGTGATGGATTGATATGGGTGTTACACGTCATATGTGCTCAAAGAGGGAGTGACTAAATAATTATAAGGTTGTTTAAAACATTCTAGAAATGGTATCACATAGAAAAGGGATAACACTTAATGATGTGTTGTATGTTCCATAGATTAGGAAGAACTTAGTGTTTGGATGGTTGTTAAACAAACATGGTTTTTGTTTGGTGTTTGATTCAAATATGTTTATACTAAACATAAAGGGTATGTTTGTAGGCAAAGGCTATTCGGATGGTGGAATGCTTAAATTTTATGTAATGGCTAATAAGTCTAATATCAACGACATGAATAACCCTTCCACTTATTTATTTGATTCTTTTAATGTGTAACATGTTAGACTTAGACATGTTAATTTGGACACATTAAAGCAATTAATCAAAATTTAACACAATCCTTACATTCATATAGACTCAAAATATAAATGAAACACTTGTGTTGAATTAAAGTTAACAGGACATTTATTCAAGACCATTGAAAGGACAATTGAACCCCTTGGATTAGTTCATGTAGTTGCATGTGATATGAAATCGAATCCATCTAAAGATGGAAATAAGTACTTTATCACTTTTATTGACGATTTCACTACACTATGTTATTTCTATTTACTTAAAAGTAAATGAAAAATGATAGACAAGTTGAAGTGTATAAAAGTGAAGTTGAGGATCAACTCAACACAAGTATTAAAGAACCAATAAGTGACTGTGGAGGTGAATACGTATCACCATTTAAATAATTTTGTGCAAATTATGGTATAATACATGAGATTATTGCACCTTATATGCCATAACAAAATGGCGTCACGCAAAAGAAAAAAATATCTTAGAGGAAATGATAAATCTTATATTGTTAAGTTTTAGGTTACCACCCTCAATGTGGGGGAAGTTGTATTATCAACTAATTACCTTTTAAATAAGGTACCCCAAAAGAAAACAAATAAAACGCCATCCAAGTTATGGTTGGGTATAAAACCATCTTACAAATACATTCAAATGTGGGGGTGTATCGCAAAGGTTGTTATACTTAACTCCAAGGTTGTAACTTATAAGGATTAGACACTAGATAGTTGGTTTCATCTTTACTGTTTATGCAAAAAACAATAGTGCTTATTGTTTTCTTATACATAATGGAATCAACAAATGCATCATACTTTGAAAATGTGTTTCCATATCTTGATAAATAAAGACAAGTGCTCCAAAAAAAATTGGGCACAAAGAATCCTCTCATGAAAAAAGAAATGAAGGAATAAATAGATCATGATGGAGTAAAAGGGTACTAGTGAGAAATCATTTGGAAATGATTTTTGCATATATATGGTTAAAGAGAGCCTCAAACTTTCAAAAATGAATTTACTTCCTTTGAAATACCTCAATGAAAAGAGGCAATTAAAAGTGAAATGAATTCTATTTTTCCAAATCACACATGAGATCTATTGGATATACATCTAGTATGCAAACCACTAGACTACAAATGGACTTTCAAGAGGAAAATGAAAGCATATGAGAATTGGTTAGAACATAATGGTCTATGATTTTAATAGAAATATGCACCGATTTCTTGTTCGAAAGTTTAGAATCAAATGATACTTCTATACTCCAAGAAGCTATTGGTTGGAATTCATCAAAAAAGATAAATGTTTTGATGAATATTAAGATATTCAACATGATGTTGAAAGTGATGGGTTTTAGCCATAAGAACATCCTATGTGCTTATACAAACCTTAATGCTTGGATCTAGGTTTCTCTATTGTACATGTTATTCATCCAAGACTTTAAACCCTAAATCTAGCATATGATAATCAATATTAACATAAGAATGGGTTTAAGATATTACCTTGATTGTTATGTAGCAATAACAATCACAATTCCTCCTTGTAATGACTTTAGAAAGCTTAGAGTCACAAATGTTACTCCTCTAATGGTTCACAAACACCAAGAGCAAGAGGATGAAGAATAAGGAGAGAGGAGGCTGCCCAAAATGTGTGGAAACCCTAGAGAACAAGTTCACCACGTTTTTGGGGCTTAAGGGTACTATATATACATGTAGGCTATTAGGGTACTAATATTAATTAAACAATATGATTTATCCTTTAATATATTATTCTCATAATATATTAATAAATCATATTTAATCATTTCTCTCCATAATTCATCCTATCAAGTTGCTTTGGTGAAGGCAACCCAAAAGGACCATGCACCATCGAGTCAAGTATATACCAAAATAGTTATGGACTTAGACACTAATCCAACAGTCTCCTACTTGGATAAGTCTAATAACTATTCCGCGTATGACTTCAGATCCTGATCTGCAATCGTAGCTTTCTAAAGTCGTTGTCAACTCTGATCTTATCAGATATGCGTGTCCATTAGATAAGGGATCATATATTCCTCCATTCTAGATATCGTATAGACTGAGACATGGATCTAAATCATTCTCTCTGTCTAT